CTAAACCAATCTTGAGTAAGAGGATTTATTATAGGATTAGTATTTTCTAATTTGTTGTTGTTTAGTCACTATGTCATGTCTGACTCTTTTGGTCACAAGTCATGTACATGGACTGTAGTCAGCTAGCAACTTCTGTCCATGGAATTTTCCAGGCAAGAATACTGGAATGGGTCGCCATTACCTTCTCCAGTGGATCTTCCTGCCATTTCCTTCTCCTTGGAATCTATCCCAGGGATAGAACTCGTGTCTCCTGTATTGGCAGGTGGATTCTTTACTACTGAGCCACCAGGGAACCATTTTATCAATTAGAAAAAGTGACAAAATATTAAAATTGGATATATAACAGAGTATTAGAACATATTTTGGAAATAATCTTACATGGTATATTAAATCCTGATATTGTAGTAGTAGTAGTGTTAGTCGATGGTGTCCAACTCTTTGCAACTCTGTGAACTATAGTCTGTCAGGTTACTCTGACCATGGGATTCTCCAAGCAAGAATACTGGAATGGGTTGCTATTCCCTTCTCCATGGGATCTTCCTGACCCAGGGATTAAACCCAGGTCTTCTGCATTACAGGCAGATTCTTTACCATCTGAGCCACCAGGGAAGCCCAGAATCCTGATATATCATCAGGCTTTTATATTTGTGAACCCTGAATTTGGCAATTCATCTAGGAACCATGGTTGGTGAATCCACCGATGCAGAACCTCTGTATTGGAGGGACAACTGTGCTATGCTATGCTGTTTTGTATAAGGGAATTTATCACCCCTGCATTTGGTGGGGAGGGAAGAGAGGTGTCCTAGGACCATTTCCCCCTGGATATTGATGAACTACTGACTTGCTGGGGAAAAAAGGGGGGGGGCAGTATAAGTAGTAAATTGTCATATACTCTAAGAGCATATTTTAATAAAGGACATAAAATATGAAGGAAAATGAATTGTCTTGAAACTTAAAAGAGTAGTTACCTGTAGTGGATGACTTATACTGTATATTTTTCATATTTTTCTGTATATCAATTTTTATTATGATGCATACATATACATTTGACCTTTGAGCAATGTAGGATTAGGGACATAAACCCCACTGGTTGTAGAATTTGCCTTAACTTTGCATTAGATATGCAATTCTTCATCTGAAGAGTCAATCAACTTTGGATAGAGTAGGACTGTAGTAGTATTTATTGAAAATAAAATGGCATTTGAGTGGATCCATGCAGTTCAAACCCATGTTGTTCAGGTGTCAACTATACTTTATTTATGTTCTCAAAAAATTATCTTTTCATAAAGTAAAGCATATATAAAAATGTTCTATACCTATAAAATTTTCTAAAACTCTAAACTCATAGATTTTATTGAGTTATTTTAGTAAATGAGGTGATATTTTTAAAGTCTTATTAACTATAAATTAATAAGAAAGAGATGGATTATTTAATTAATATTATTAGGGAAATTAGCTCGCTGTGTGGAAAAACAACAGCTTAGATTCTTGCTGCAGGTCACACAACAAATTACTGTTATGTAATTTTAAAAGTTGAGTTTTAATGATATATGATGTAGACAGAGGGTATTTATTATTGTTAAGTCTACATGCAGCAAAGAATAAAGAAAACAACTTATGATTTACAACATCTAGGTGAAAAACATAGTTAGTAGGTATAAAGCAAATAATTTGATTCATAATCCCTTCAACTAGGAAGGTCACAGGGAATGGAAGAGACATGTAAACAAATGATGACAATGCATCAGAAACAGTTGGGATATTAAAGAGTTTACCACTTTTTTTTTTTTGCTTTTGCTTGTTTTGTTTCAAGCAACTGAATTGGACATGCACAATCAAGAATAACCACTTCAGTATTCTTACCTTTAGAACCCCATAAACAGTATGAAAAGGCAAATGGATAGGACACTGAAAGATGAACTCCCCAGGTTGATAGGTGCCCAATATGCTACTGGAGATTGGTAGAGAAATAACTCCAGAAAGAATGAAGAGATGGAGCCAAAGCAAAAACAACACCCGGTGGTGGATGTAACTGGTGATGGAAGCAAGGTCCAATGCTGTAAAGAGCAATATTGCATAGGAACCTTGAGTGTTAGGTCCATGAATCAAGGCAAATTGGAAGTGGTCAAACAGGAGATGACAAGAGTGAACATCAACATTATAGGAATCAGTGAACTAAAATGGACTGGAATGGGTAAATTTAACCCAGATGACCATTATATTTACTACTGTGGGCAAGAATCCCTTAGAAGAAATGGAGTAGCCATCACACTCCATAAGCGTCCAAAATGCAGTGTTTGATGCAATCTCAAAAAATGACAGAATGATCTCTGTTTGTTTCCAAGACAGACAATTCAATATCACACACACACACAAGAAAAAAACAGCAAGTGTATTCTCTGACCAGTCATGCTGAAGAAGCTGAAGTTGAACGACTCTATGAAGGCTTAAAGCTCAACATTCAGAAAACTAAGATCATGGCATCCGGTCCCATCACTTCATGCCAAATAGATGGGGAAACAGTGGAAACAGTGGATGACTTTATTTTGGGGGCTCCAAAATCACTGAAGATGGTGACTGCAGCTATGAAATTAAAAGATGCTTACTCCTTGAAAGGAAAGCTATGACCAACCTAGACAGCATTTCTAAAAGCAGAGACATTACTTTGTCAACAAAAGTTTGTCTAATCAAGGCTATGGTTTTTCCAGTAGTCATGTATGGTTGTGAGAGTTGGACTATAAAGAAAGCTGAGCGCTGAAGATTTGATGCTTTTGAATTGTGGTGTTGGAGAAGACTCTTGAGAGTCCCTTGGACTGCAAGGAGATCCAACCAGTCCATCCTAAAGGAGATCAGTCCTGGGTGTTCATTGGAAGGACCGATGTTGAAGCTGAAACTCCAATACTTTGGCCACTTGATGCTAAGACCTGACTCATTATAAAAGACCCTGATGATGGGAAAAATTGAAGACAGGAGGAGAAGGGACCGACAGAGTATCAGATGGTTGGATGGCATTACTGACTTGACGGACATGAGTTTGAGTAAGCTCCAGGAGTTGGTGATGGATAGGAGAAGCCTGGCATCCTGCAGTTCATGGGGCTGCAAAGAGTTGGACACGACTGAGTGACTGAGCTGAACTGAATCAAGGATTAGTGATTTCATGATGATATCATTATAGTTTATTTTTGCTTATTTTTAAAAATTAATTAATCTATTTTAATCAAAGGCTAATTACTTCACAACATTCTAGTTTAAAATAAGACCTATTGTTACCTTTGTCTTTATAGGTTTTTTTTTTTTTTTTTTCTAATTGACGCTTTCTAATCATAGTTGCATCCTGGAGGGTCCGTGAACCTGGTGCAGTCATATCTGGGGAGTATTAGGAATTAACTCCCCAAGGAACAGAGACTGCACTTTATAAAGGCCTACTTCACACATTCAGTTACCCTGGGTCTTCCAACTTTCAGGGGAAAATTTCTTCTACAGTCAAGTAGGTTAAGAGATCCTGTTGGTCATTTCCATAACCCTCGTTTTCCAAGCCTCTACACTTTTCACAATTTAAAGGAAAGTAGAAGACCCTGTCTAACTCTGCTCCAACTGGATGAAGCTGACATGTATACACAATAATGAAATACTTTCTTAGCCCACTCCAAATAAAACATCCTGTTTGACTTCTGCCCAAGACTTGGGCTTCCTTTAGAAGAAAACACTTTGTTGATGAAACTGTGGAAGCCAATTCCTAAGGAAGAAGAGCATTTGTTTGTATGAATGTTGTCTTTCTCTTGAGGGAAACTTTTGATCTTTAAAAAAATTTGCCAAAAGAGACATTTGTGGCTGAAAGTAGTTCACAAAGTAGGGAGGTTTTGTGTGTGTGTTTTTCTTCTAAAATTGATAAGGCTTTGTGGATTTGGCTTCTTTTTCCTTTTATTACAAAGAAGAAATATAAGAAAATAAGCCTGATTTCAATGTATGCTCAAAGAAAAGTAACTCATTATCAAAATTTCTGCTAATTACCTCTAAAATATCCCAGTTTGATATTTATCATGGAAAATCAAAGTGAGACTCAGTTCAGTTCAGTCACTCAGTCATGTCTGACTCTTTGTGACCCCATGAACCACAGCACGCCAGGCCTCCCTGTCCAATACCAACTCCCAGAGCCTACCCAAGCTCATGTCCATTGAGTCGGTGATGCCATCTAACCATCTCACCCTCTGACATCCCCTTCTTCTCCTGCCCCCAATCCCTCCCAGCATCAGGGTCTTTTCCAGTGAGTCAACTCTTCGCATGGGGTGGCCAAAGTATTGGAGTTTCAGCTTCAGCATCGGTCTTTCCAATGAACACTCAGGACTGATCTCCTTTAGGATGGACTGGTTGGATCTCCTAGTAGTCCAAAGGACTCTCAAGAGTCTTCTCCAACACCACAGTTCAAAAGCATCTAGAGTTATTATATTACCATTATGGAAATGGGCAAATGATGTTCAGATCAATATTTTATCATTTTTTTCCATTCTTTTGCCAGAATGGTGAGCTGTAGTGCCAGTAGCTCTTCTAAGATGTCTGTTCAGGAAGACAAGTTAGTTGAAATAGAACTTTCACAAGCTGGGTTTTGCCTCCAGCAAGAGGAAAATAAATGAATGGGAGAAAACAGTTTTCACATCACATTTTATGTGTGTACTTATGTATAAGTATGCATGTGTTTGTATATATGCATATTGGGATCAGGGTGATTCCATAATCAGGGTGATCAAATTCATTCTTTTGGGTTTTTCAGTCCAGAGAGAGATTGAAATCCTTCTCTTTCTTCTCATTTTAGTGGTATATTCTCTAACTCTGGTGCGAAACATTGACATGATTTCCTTAATCCGGTTGGATCCTCACCTTCACATACCCATATACTGTTTTCTCAGTAATCTGGCCTTTGGAGACTTTTGTTACTCCTCATCAACAGCCCCAACGTTCCTGGAGACCCTCCTGACCAAGCGCAGGCCCATATCTCTCTGTGCATGTGCGCACAGCTGGGCTTTTTCCAGAACTTCTTGATTTTGGAGATGTTCCTTCTTGCAGTAATGGCTTATGACCGCTATGTGGCCATCGGCAATCCTCTTCTCTACGTGGTAATCATGTTCCAAAAGGTGTGCATGCAACTGGTAGCAGGCCCTTACTTATACAGCTTTTCTGTTGCTTTCCTCCACATAGTTGTTACTTTTCAAGAGATCTACTGTGGCCCCAGTGTTATTAATCACTTCTATTGTGATGATGTTCCTTTGCTGGCTCTTGCCTGCTCAGACACCAGCCTCAGAGAGGTCTTGATTTTTATCTTTGCTGGATTCAACACGATCAGCTCTTTGACCATGGTCCTTATTTCTTACCTATACATTGTGGCTGCCATCCTGAGAATTCAATCTGCAAAGGGAGGCGCAAAGCATTCTCATCCTGTGGTTCTCATCTGACTGCTGTCGCTATATTCTATGGGACTCTGATCTTCATGTATCTGCAGCCCAAATCAAACCATTCCCTTGACACAGACAAAACGGCCTCTGTCTTCTACACAATAGTCATTCCTATGTTGAATCCCATGATCTACAGCCTGAGGAACCAAGAGGTAAAAAATGCCTTGAGGAAAGCCTTTGAAAAATATTATTTTCTGTCTCTAATAAACATTAAAATGTATCTTGTAACACTGACTGTCTTAGAACTATGCCACATGCAGATATGTTGTTTTTATTATCTTTGATAGATTATTTTATTTTCACCATTTTTGTATGAGCAAAATGACTTTGCACAGGTGTTCTATTTTTTTATATAATTTATAAATAAGATGAAAGGTTTAAAAAAAGAAAGATAAAAAAGGTTTTTAGCAGTCACAGTAGAGTGTATTAGATATGGTAAGAGTATACATCATATTTGAGCAGGGGCACCTCAGATTGAGTGAAAAGCAAGAAAGAAAAATATCTTCTTAAAATTGAGATTGTAATTAAGTTCACATGATAAGAAGTGAGTGAGGTTATGTTAATTGCTTTTGTCCAACTTAAAAGAAAATATATTTTAAAGTGCTTATGCTTTACCAGAGGGGGATAATAAACCAAAACATATAGAGTCTAAAATAAATAAATAAAAGACTATAATGCATATTTTGAACAAATTGCTACTATTTGCATATGTGACACTTGACAGTTTTGACCTGGAGAGTTTCTATTTAACTGATAATAAGATTTAGCCACGGCTTTCAAAAATGTTTCTATTTTATACATTGTGGAGACAGAAAAAGGGAAGTGATAAAGTGAGTTTCTTGTCCATCCCCATGTCATTCCATGCAGTAGCAGTTCCTCAACTGTACCCTGTCACTAAAAATCATTCCTCTCTGCTTCTGACTCCCACTAGATTCACCGTTGGTCACTCTCTATAATTCCATGGTTCTCATGTTGTTCAAAATGATGTCATTTTTCACCATGCAGATCTGGGAATTAGGGTTGGCTTTTGGAAAGTCATACTCTCTTTTTCTGTATCAAAATGAAAATGCAAACATACTCCTATATTCCCCCAGCAAAACTTAGGATCCTTTTATATTTTAGGGATTTGAAGAAATTACAGTGGATTGAGGGGACAGGAAGGGGTAGTTTAAAACCAAATTATAAATGTGGTTGCTGTCATATGTCAGGAATACAGTTCTATGTTGGGGTGGTTGTAAAGTGATGTAATCTAAAACCCAATTAAACCATCAACTGGAATGTATTTGTTTTCTTTTATTCAGATTCAAATGTTTAGTGTCTACCATGTGGGTGATATTGTGAGCTATTCTTGTAGAGGAAATCCAAAACATTCCTGAATATGCTGAGCAGTCTGCTATTTTGGGAAAGACTGGCAAAAGAAATGATTGTATAAGTTATTCAGAAACATTTTAGCTTATTTTATCCAAGTTATCTTAGTACACATTTCATTGTTAAATTAGATTTCAGATTTATGTGAAGACATCAGTATTGCCATATTAAATTATTTATATTAAACTTTATTTTAATATATGCCTCAGCTAACCTCAACACCATTATTAAAGCAGCAATGAGGCGTTCTAAGTGGATGTAAATTGTACAAATTCTGAAGAGAAGCAATGACTTACAATCCTGATTTTCAAGTTCTTATATCAATGTCTTTCAGGGTCAGGGAGCACAGTTGCAGAGAAATTAATCTTGGAAATCATGACTGTCAATTGTCAAAGATAAAACTCAAGAAAAGAGAACATCATTGTTGTAGCTTTAAAAAAAATAGTTTCAAAAGTATAATTTAAATAGTTAAAAGCACAGCAGTGAGCTTATATAGTAAACTGTAGAGTGGAGGCTGAACCTGAGATTGGCAATGTAAGAAGGGTTTAAAGGTTAGTGAATCTTTCAAAAGGAATCTGGTGCCCCTTCTGGGTAGCACACTGGATCTGGGGGAGGTTGCTGCAAAACCGCCCATTTACCAAAGACAGTTCAGATACATTTGAAGCGCTCCCAGAGAAGAAAGGGTGATAACCTGGGAGACTAAAAAAGACTAAAGAAAAAACAAAGTTCTAACATTGAAACAAAACTCTAAAGAAATATATTAGTTTCATCAGTCTGTGTTAACAAAGTACACACACTCATTGACTTAGAACTTAGAACATTATATTCTCGCATTTCTGGAGCCTACAAGTCTGAAGTCAGGGTATTGGTGGAACCATGCTCTCTATGAAGCTCTAGGGGAGGCTCCTTCCTTGTTTTGTTCCAGCTGCTCGTGGCCCCAGGCATTCCTTGGCTTGTAAACATCACTCCAGTGTCTGCTGTCTTCACACAGTCTTCTTCCCTCTACATCTGTGTCCAGATTTCTTCATTCTTGTAAGGACATCACCCACACTGGGTTAACGGTCCACCTTACTTCAGTATGAATTCATATTAACAACTGCATCTTCAATGACCCTATATCCAAATAACGACCCTATAACCCAATGACCCTATAACCAAACTCTGAGGTTCTTCAGGTTAGGAACTTAACACATCTTATGGGGGGACAATTTCACTCATAATAAGTGCATGTAAGTGTGTGCATGCTCAGTTGTGTTCAACTCTGTGTAACCCTATGGACTGTAACCCACAAGGCTCCTCTGTCCATGGGTTTTTCCAGGCAAGAATACTGGAGTAGGTTGCCATTTCCTTCACCAGAGGATGTTCCCCCAGGGATTGAAACCATGTCTCTTGCCTTGCAGATGATTCTTTGCTGCTGAGCCACTGGGGAAGCCCCACTAATAAGTAAGGACAGTAAAGATGTGCTGGCTCAAGTGTCTGGTGAAAACATACCTTATCTACACCTGTGAGCACAGTTCAGGAAAAAATAAATAGCTGAGATTCCCTAAGCTTAAGAAAGAGACCTTTAAGTACATAAAAAGGCTAGCGAAATGGCCTAGATGACTGGTCAAAAGGGATCCAAAACCAGTTAATGTGACAACTGGAGTCTTAAAGGTCATAACAAGCCCAAGGACTCATCAAGTAGTTAGGACAAAGGGATATATAACCTAATATCTAATATAGATCAGAAGCTTGAGTTTTTCTCCTTCTGGTTAAGACAGAAGACAAGATGCCCTTCTCTCAATACCAGAATAGATTCTGAAGAGACTTGATCATTCTCAGGTAAAAATCATCCTAGTGAGTGGTAAGATGCAGAGATGAAGTGCCAAGGATATGTTTATGGAGAATGTTAAAAGAGCAAGTATAGAACTATAGCTAAGTGAACTCCCAAGATGCAGTGACTTAATAAAATAATTTATTCCTTTCTCAGGCACCAGTATGAGTTAACGGGTTTGGGAAGGGCAATTAGACCCTCAATATGTGGTTTCCATTTTTTCTAAAAAGTGATCATTTCAGGCAACATTTTCCAGTGGGAAGGAAGAGAAAAAAGTCCATATCTAATGGCTTTAACATAGAGAAGGCGATCTTTAGGTTACAGGCATCACCTTCTACTGATGGCTCATTGCCAAGACCTGACAATATTATGTATCTCACTGACAAGGGACAATGGGAACGGTGGTTAACAGCTGGATGACAGATGTTTTACTTATAAAATAAAATATAAAATAGTGGACACTGAGGAATATGTCTGCCATAAGGATCACAGAAAATGTGATCTTAAAGGGTCAAGTTATAATGATCTCTGTCAATACAATTGTTTCTTGAGCAGCCTATCATTTCATGTTTGACACCAACTTGTTAGAAGCAAACTTGGGTGATTTGAAAACATGAAAAAAACAAACAAAAAATATTTTGTTAATGTAGTTTCCAATACTAATCAAACGGTACTCTTTCTTCCTGCTCAGAACCTAAAGTTATGAAAAAGAACTCTCCTCCCACCATCTGCCTTTTCTCAGAACCAATCTGAGGGAGTGTGGCTTGTGGGCAATTAGTAAATTAGCCTGAATAACAATACTTTCTGTGCTTAAATGAATCCATCTTTCCAGTGATATTATCACAGGTAAATGTTACTTCTCAGAGTCTTTCTACACGTTTAAATTGTGCATCCCTTTTAATTGGATTAGCCCTTAAACAAGAAAACTCATTCATGATAAATTACTTCTTCTGACTTGCTTTTATGCTGATATTATTAGCAAGAGTCAACAAGGACAAAAAATATATTCCACTTATATTAAGAATGAAGGTAGATTAAGTGGACCCCAAGCAACATAAATTGAATAGTAAACTTGTAATCAGATCTCAATGGATACCAGTTTGAGCTGTGCTGATCACATTTTTACACATGTGTAGTGCAACGGCATTTGGTTTTACAGAGATTCTTATCTGGTTGACCCACTCTAGTTATTAAAAGCTTGACTTAAGCAGCTAAACACAGACCTAAGAATGTAATGTTAGTGACAAGAATTTGGAATCAAACAATAGCTTCATCACAGCAATCAAATGTTTAACAGGACATTCTTCTGATCAAAAGTTAGATTTTAAATGACAAAAATCCATATTGCTTCATCTTTTTAAACTATGAGAAGGACATGATAGGCTTTAGTCAAAATTTTTCACTTATTTAATAAAGAGAAAAATAACTAGCCAAAATTCAAACCAGAGTAGAATTACGGTGAGTCAACAGATTGCTTGAAACACAAATAGTGTTAATAGAGCAATACATACTGAGAATTAACCTTATGATTGATTCATGACACTAGTTGAAGATTCTAAATACATTTTTGTTTTCAAAAGCCCATGCATGTATAAATGTTACTGAAAGCTTGTTTGGTAAATGAAGATCCACCAACTTTTATATTCATGGAAAAGTGATGAAGTCTTAATTTTTTCTCATGAAATTATATATTACTTATAAAACAAGTGAAGAGCAATTGTATATACAAAATATCCTAAGAAATCATGTTCAACTCTTACAAAGTTACCTACAAATTAACATGTGCTTATCCAAATGTATTATAAGTAATCCAATGGCTACATTTAGCACAATTTTACACACACTGTGACTAACAGTAATAGGTCAGTGTTAGTATACTTGCACATGTAGATAAAGGAGGCTTAGTCCTGAGAGTCCATTCATGGAGTAAACCATCGCTATGTTAGACTGGACCTCTTAGCATATTTAAGTGTTGCATGTACACAGTCTGTTTTAAACGGGGAATTTATATGCCTGGACATTTATAACAGGAAGTGGCGTACACGGAATTATGTCCTGCAGGTTCACTGCCTCAAATTTGCCTTGACGATTGCTTTGTTGACTGCCTCTTTCACATCTTTGTTCCTCAAACTGTAGATCATGGGATTCAGCATGGGAATCACTGTGGTGTAAAACACAGCCACCATCTTCCCCTGCTCCACAGACTCTTCAGTGGGCCTCCTGAGGTACATGAAGATGAGAGTCCCGTAAAACATGGTGACAGCCGTCAGGTGGGACCCACACGTGGAGAATGCCTTCCTCCTGCCATCGGCAGAGCGCATGCGCAGCACGGCCGCTACGATGGGGGTATAGGAAATGAGAACCACTGAGAGGGAATACGTGAAGTTAATCCCAGCAATAACAATCATGGTGTATTCTTTAATGTGGACCCCTCCACAGGCAATCTTGATAAGAGGAGGGTCAGCACAATAGAAGTGGTTGATTTTAAAGTTTCCACAGAAGTACAGGCCATATGTCCACAGTGTGCAGATTAGGCTGACAGAGAATCCATAGATGCATGGCACAGAGATGAGACGAGCACAGACAGTCCTGGACATTTTACTGCAGAGGGTTGCAGATGGCCATGTAGCGATCAAAGGCCATCACAGCCAAGATCTATACTTCCACGTGGACAAGGGCTATGAAGAAGTAACACTGCACCAAACACCCCGCATAAGAAATGGTTTTTGTCTCTGATGGTAACTTTTCCAGCATCTCCGGAGTGACATTGGAAGAGAACCACACATCCACAAAAGACAAATGACTCAAGAAAAAGTACATGGGACTCTGAAGCTGGGGGCTGATGCTGATCAAAATAATCATAGCAATGTTCCCTATCAGAGTGATCATGTAAACTACTAGAAACACCACAAAAAAGAGAACTTGAAGCTCCTGATGACTGGTCAACCCCAGAAGAATAAATTCTGTCACATCTGTGAAATTTGGCATTGCCTTCACTTAGACCCAGTCTACATTGCTTATGGACAAATTAAAAGAAATGAATGGATTTATTTTATTCTTGAAAATTTTGAGTCATCTTTATCAGTATTCTAGTTCAAATAATATAAACATCAATGTAGACTTTTCACAGTCTAATATAAGACTATATAATCACATGTATTTCCTTTAATAGGCCTTATAGGTAATTATTGCAATATTAGTTTCTTAACTCTAAAACAGACAATTACATACATGTACTACTAGTATTAGACACTTATTTTTGCTAAATTATTTCAATGATGTTAACATCATAGAGGGCTAATAGAAGTAAAGCTAGACTAAGAGTCATCAGAGAATGACCAAATCCATTTCAACATACTGTCTTATAGGAAAAGACTTGAGACTTATAAATGTAAATATTCAACCAAGGTCAGAAAACCACTTTGTGCTGAACAGGGAAGTAAGAAGAGTGAATCATTGAAATTCCATTGAATACTATTTTTGTGTATGATGGTTGCCTCTCATTGTCAATATTAATACAAATACACATGTAGTATTAACTTACTCATTTCCCTATAACTTGAAAGATATCTTTTAAAAAATGTGCTTGTTTATTTATTTTTGTCTGCACTTGGGCTCCTCTTGGTTGGGGTGTGTGGGCTTCTCACTGCAGTGGCTCCTCTTGTTGTGGAGCACTGACCCTAGGTGAGCAGGCTTAAGTAGTTGTGGCTCATAGGTTCTAGAGTGCGGGCTCAGTAATTGTGGCTCTTGGGCTTAGTTGCTCCATGGCATGTGGAATCTTCCTCCAACCAGAGATCGAACTTGTGTCCCCTACGTTGGTAGTCAGATTGATATTCACTGAGCCACCAGGGAAGCCCAGAAGATATCTTCTTATCTATGCAATTTTACGGGATGATTGTCTTAAACCTTGGGCTTACAATCTAGTCACTGACATACTTTTCTACATTATGCCAGTATATGATATCATAAACTTTCAACTTATGAAAATCCTAGTCATGTTTTATTTTATTTAGCTATATATTTCACTTGCTTGATTACTGCTGCTTGCAGGATGAGGTAAAGGTATTTAATGACACAGACTGTATCAGTTTAACAGTTATCTCAGAAAAGTAAGCTGCAAGTAGTTCAATCACCATATCAAAATTATATCAATAGATAAATTCTATTTACATATAAAATAAAATTCAGGTGCCATGTTTTTAAACTTACTGTCTTACTTCAGATTCTACTGCTTTTCAGCAACAATCCATTATATGTCTAGTTATTTATTTTCAAAATCAATGTCATTACAAGGAAAATGTCCACAAGGAATGTTTTCTCCATTTAATACACTTCCCCAGATAAGTCTTCTGAGAAGTAAACTGCTCTGAGTACTTAGGGATACATCTGTAGGATTAACATCATCTTGGGAATTTAAGATCCCCATAATAATACTGCTTGAAGAGAATATTATGACATAAAATGGGCTGTACTAATAATTGCTTATGATAATTCATTTACAGACATCAAAACCAATTTTATGTCAAATATAGTTGCTATATTATATTTATTATTTATTTATTATATCTAGAAGTAGTCTAAGTTTTACAATATGAAAGAGAACAAGCTATGTGAGATTCTGGTTTGTATCATAATTGATTCTTTTTGAAAGTGAGTGAATGAAAAATATACAAAAGAGACAATTTAGGGAATGTAACTACTATGAGACAAAAATGGAGCATGTTGATAAACAGAAATAAGAAGCAGCAGTATATTCTCAGCCATTAAAAAGAATTCATTTGAATCAGTTCTAATGAGATGGATGAAACTGGAGCCCATTATACAGAGCGAAGTAAGCCAGAAAGATAAAGAACATTACAGTATACTAATGCATATATATGGAATTTAGAAAGATGGTAATGATAACCCTATATGCAAAACAGAAAAAGAGACACAGATGTACAGAACAGACTTTTGGACTCTGTGGGAGAAGGTGAGGGTGGGATGTTTTGAGAGAACAGCATTGAAACATGTATATTATCTAGGGTGAAACAGATCATCGGCCCAGGTTAGATGCATGAGACAAGTGTTCAGGCCTGGTGCACTGGGAAGACCCAGGGGGATTGGGTAGAGAGGGAGGTGGGAGGGGGGATAGGGATGGGGAATACATGTAACTCCATGGCTGATTCATGTCAATGTATGACAAAAACCACTACAATATTGTAAAGTAATTAGCCTCCAATTAATAAAAATAAATGAAAGAAAAAAGAAGCAGCAGTATGCACACAGAGTAGTCAGAGATCTCTTTGAGGATAAACTTTTCAGTTATGGGCAAATAGCCAGTTATGTAAAAATATTGAGGAAAATGAAAATACAGAAAATTAAAAGAGGAACTATTTTTAAAAGTGTATAAACTTGATGATGGTATCATGGCTCCCTCCAACTAGTTCAGTTCAGTTCAGTCACTCAGTCATGTCTAACTCTTTGTGACCTCATGAACCACAGCATGCCAGACCTCCCTGTCCATCACCAAATCCCAGAGTTTGCCCAAACTCATGTCCATTGAGTCAGTGATGCCATGCAACAATTTCATCCTCCGTTGTTCCCTTTTTCTCCTGCCTTCAATCATTCCCAACATCAGGGTCTTTTCAAATGAGTCAGCTCTTCTCATTAGGTGGTCAAAAAACCGGAGTTTCAGCTTCAGCATCAGTCCTTACAATGAACACCTAGGACTGATTTCCTTTAGGATCAACTGGTTGGATCTCCTTACAGTACAAGGGACTCTCAAGAGTCTTCTCCAACAACACAGTTCAAAAGCATCAATTCCTTGGTGCTCAGCTTTCTTTATAGTCCAACTCTCACATCCTTACATGGCCACTGGTAAAACCATAGCCTTGACCAGATGGACCTTTGTTGGCAAAGTAATGTCTCTGCTTTTTAATATGCTGTCTAGGTTGGTCATAACTTTCCTTGCAAGGAGTAAGTATCTTTTAATTTCATGGCTGCAATCACCATCTGCAGTGATTTTGGAGCCCCCCAAAATAAAGCTAGCCACTGTTTCCCCATCTGTTTGCCATGAAGTGATGGGACCAGATGCCGTGGTCTTAGTTTTCTGAATGTTGAGCTTTAAGCCAACTTTTTCACTCTTCTCTTTTACTTTCATCAAGAGGCTTTTTAGTTCTTCTTCACTTTCTGCCATAAGGGTGGTGGCTACTGCATATCTGAGGTTATTGATATTTCTCCCGGCAGTCTTGATTCCAGCTTGTGCTTCATCCAGCCCAGTGTTTCTTATGATGTACTCTGCATATAAGTTAAATAAGCAGAGTGACAGTATACAGCCTTGACGTACTCCTTTTCCTATTTGGAACCTGTCTGTTGTTCCATGTCCAGTTCTAACTGTTGTTTCCTGACTGGCATACAGGTTTCTTAAGAGGCAGGTCAGGTGGTCTGGTATTCCCATCTCTTTTAGAATTGTCCACAGTTTGTTGTCATCCACACAGCCAAAGGCTCTGGCATAGTCAATAAAGCAGAAATAGATGGTTTTCTGGAACTCTCTTGCTTTTTTGATCTCTGGTTCCTCTGCCTTTTCTAAAACCAGCTTGAACATCTGGAAGTTCATGGTTCACATATTGCTGAGGCCTGGCTTGGAGAATTTTGAGCATTACTTTACTAGTGTGTGAGATGAGTGCTATTGTGTGGTAGTTTGAGCATTCTTTGACATTGCCTTTCTTTGGGATTGGAAAGAAAATTGACCTTTTTCAGTCCCGTGGCCACTGCTGAGTTTTCCAAATTTGCTGAAATATTGAGTGCAGCACTTTCACAGCATCATCTTTCAGGATTTGAAATAGCTTAACTGGAATCCCATCACCTCCACTAGCTTTGTTCGTAGTGATACTTCCTAAGGCCCACTTGACTTCACATTCCAGGATGTCTGGCTCTAGTTGTGTGATCACACAATCATGATTATCTGGGTTGTGAAGATCTTTTTTGTATAGTTCTTCTCTGTATTCTTGCCACCTTTTCTTAATATCTTCTGCTTCTGTTAGGTCCATACCATTTCTGTCCTTTCTTGAGCCCATCTTTGCATGAAATATTCCTTAGTATCTCTAATTTTCTTGAAGAGATCTCTAGTCTTTCCTGTTCTACTGTTTTCCTCTATTTCTTTGCATTGATCGCTGAGGAAGGCTTTCTTATCTCTCCTTGCTATTCTTTG